GTCGCATTTTGCGTGGCCGAGCGCCCAACTGCACAGTGCACTTTGCACACGAAAAATCGAAATGTGTGCGAGGTCACTGAAAGTGTTCTTGCCTCAGATCGCCCGTAGTGTTTTTCATAGATGCCGAGTGAGTATTCCGACCCAGTTCTTAGAGTTCTATGCCCTCACTAAGGGTTCAAACGTCCACTTCTCGGCCCGCTGAGTAGCCATGTCATCTGGCGTTAGAGCTCTACATTATTTTGGGTAGGACATTGCAAGCCTGAGACCACTCGTTGATAGTATAAAATTGCACATAGAGGATACAAAAGGTATATACAATGTGCTAGTAAGATTCAGTGGCAAAGAAAACCGTTCGCGTACCCAGAACTTGGTCAGAACTTGGGGATTGTTCACAGGTGATCTAGCTTCTGTAACTTACGAAAACGAGTCTCTATGCAGATTCAGAAGGTACAGGTGTGTTTGTGAGGCTTTTAGCAGTGTATATGATTGGTCTCAGAGCGACAACAAGGACACAAACGGGTCTGCCGATTTTTCTGATTTTTTTCGTGTCGAGGGCACCCGCGTCAGTCGGAGTTGAGCGGCCACCAATTTTGGAAACAGCTGTACTACGCGTCGGGCCGGATTCGAACTTCTGACCATGGGCAACATCATGGCTATTAAACCACCTGTCCCCAACCCACTATCATCATGACCCTAGCAGATCCAAATGATTTCGAGTGACAAGATGTTCTCCAACTGACGGCGAGATGTAATCAAGAATGCACAATAAAAAGGACTCAAAGATATGTACAGCCAGTCCAATACAGGACGAGTACCAGGTACATTACGGTAGTAGACTTCCACGACATGTACAGACCCAGGCTCCAGTAACAGCACAGCGATGCGATTGATACAGATACAGTACTTAGCAGTATGACGAATAAAAAAATCGAGCTAGATGTGAGAGTAGACGTATGTCTGTGTGCGTGAGATGAGCGAGATGAACGAGTGATGATGAGGATGACAAGAAGCGATGCGAGAGGGCGGAGACGGAGATGGGGACAACAAGGCAGTCACGGGGGGCAAAAGCATGAAGGATGCACGGGGAATGCACTAATCGCTGAGCTCATAGTACGTGCGGAACATCGACTCGGTGCGGAGCGTAGAGGAGGAGATAACACCGTGGACGTGAAGGAAGAGCTTTGGGAAGCGGCGCGTGAAGTACGCTAGGAAGCCCTCAGGCATCGAGCCAAGCAGCCGCTTGACGTTGTCCGGTAGGTCCTGGTAATGATGTTTCTGCGCCCAAACTCGTCAGGCACTCATTCCTCCTGCGGACTACTGCAGCATAACGCACCTTATTCCGCAACGCACGCATAAGGTCCTGTACCGACCTCCCGTCGTATTTTCTGAACTTGCCCAAGTTCTCGTTGAACAACTTGTCCAGACGCGAGTGCCAGTCCGCGCCCACGACGTCGTACGCGCCAGTCTCGAGCGCAATCAAGTTCGCGTCCTTCGGATCTCGACACATGATCTCGAACCGGTCGGAGGCGTCCTGCAGGAACGTCAGCCGCTTGCCTGGGTCCCAGAAGTACGGGTGCAATAAGCATGTGTTTGTATCGGGCCTGCCTGTGATTCAGCCTGCGTCCCGCATATATCACGGAGGACCAGAGGTGACACACCTGTGATACGCCTCAGGGTTCAACATCTTCGTGATGAGGTCCACACCCTCCGCGCCCTCTTCCCCAAACCGCTCCAAGCCACCCAGATTCTTCGCATTCCTACGAATGTTGAACTCCCGCTCGAACCGGTCCCCGTACGGGTGCATCCCGTTCGTGAGCACATAATAGTACAAACACCCCAGCGCGAAGATGTCGACGGACTTGGTCAGCCGAGTCGGCTTGCCCGAAGGTGTGCCCGAGGTCCCTGACGAACCCGTACCGACACTCCCTCGCGAAGATTGTGACTCGTCGCCCGTATCATCCAGCTTCACCTCCCCATTGAGGATCTCTGGCGCTCGCCAACCAACCGTGCCCGCACCCATCGAGCCATGTGCAGTCGGGAGGAAGCTCGTCTGGTCATACTCGAGTTTCTTGCACAGCCCAAAGTCCGAGATCAGCATCCGGTGGCCCGCGTTCTCTCCTGCACCCTTCTTCGCGTATGAGATCAGGATGTTCTGCGGCTTGATGTCGCGGTGGATGATTTTGAGTGCATGAAGGTGGCGCAAGCCTGCAGTGATCTGCCGCAACGCGCGTTTGGGCTCGAACGCTACAACGATGTCGCGGAACTGGTCCGGGCGCTCAATGACGTCCGCGAGCGACGCAGGGCAGAGCTCGAGCGCGATGTAAAGGAAGTTCGCGTGAGCTTCCTGATAGTAGTAACGGATGACGTTCGGGTGGTCGTCAGATTCCTGGAGAATATTGACTTCGCGCGAGGCAAGTGTGACGAAGTCTGCGAGCATTCGCTTGACGGCAACGGCGCGCCCCTGCAATGAACCCTTGAACACAACCGTTCCGTGTGAGCCCATACCTGAAAATCAATGTAAGCACACCACGGAAAACCTCAAAACACAAAGCATATATTTACCTAGCACTTGGTCCGAGACGATCAGGGTCCGGACGACGGGTGCGGGAGGGGTGGAAGGCATGAGTACGATGGACGATGGAGGCTTGGGTGTCTCCGGCACGCCATTTGGCACCAACTCCGCCGCCTGCTCCCCCTCCTCCGCAGGAACGGCGATGGTCACAGCGCCCTTCTTCTTCTTCCCCCGTTTCCGTCTTATACCCTTCTTCTTACCAGGGGTATCCGTCGCGTCTCCCTCTTTGTCAGAGTCTTCGCCCTCTGCAGCATCGTTTGCGCCGTCAACAACGGGTTCGAGCGCCTCAGGGGCAAACAACACCTTCTTTGCAGGATCGAGAGGAGGTGTGGGATCCTCGGGAGGGACATCGACGTGACCGTTCATGATCTTTTCCAGAGGCTCCGGTGGGGGCAGCTCTGGAAGGGGCTTTGTAGCGATGTCGCTGACCTCGTGTGGGACGGGAATAGAGACCTTGGTCTGGGGTGGGAAACCAGATGAAGGCGATAGGAATTTGCGCACGGACATCCACACGAGCAGCACGATGGCACATAGTGCGAACGCAGAGAAAGCCTGCGTGGAGCCGCTCATTCCCACGGCATTCGGCCTGTCCTCCAAGCGAGGAGTTTCCGAGTCGTTACTCGGTGCGGGAGGTCGCTTCAAGGGCGTATTGTCGGTGTCAGGAGCATGAGAATCCGGAGAGAGTGAGTCATCGCGAGGATCCACATCAACCTGATTGGAGTTACGGTGTGGGACGGGCGGAGGGAGAACGGAGGGAGCACCGTCGAGGAGACGACTTAGCCTGGACTGGCTGTCTGACCCTAGCTTCCTCACCCCCGTTAGGCAACGTATATCAGTGGAACCACCATTCTTGCAAAGCTCGCGAAGCTTTCGCGCCCTAGCAATCCGCGAGATGCTGTCAACGTCGGGAGGGAAATCCTTGTCGGAGTCCTCAAGAGGAGGATCGATGGACCGCCATGGACCGGCGGGGTCAGCTGAGTCACGGAATACAACAAGCGGAAAACGGTCTGGACTCATTGCAAAGAGTGACCCCGTCTCTTCGACTAGGCCCACATATGCAGAGTCGAGGTTGGGTAGTCGCTTGTGTTTGGCTGCGGAAGTGAGGTCGTCTGAGGAAAGGATCTCCTGCAGACGGGGTTGCGGTTGGAGGAGGACGAATGGGTTCTCTCGCTTCGGAGAGCGCAGGACGTCGAAGGTAGCAACGCTGGAGCACCGTCAGGTCTGCACCACTGCACGGAACTTGAGGACATGGCAAGCACTCACATGGGATTGGCGAACGATTGAATCCACATGAGCTGCGCATTGGTAGTGGACTCAGGAACCTCTGGGGTAGCCGTCTTGAAGGAAATTATCTTCCCTGTAGGAAGGGACTGTATGTAGGCGTTGTCCGTAGTACGATGATATATGGACTGGAGAGCATGATCCTGATTATTGGGCCCATAGGTGGAGAAGGAGAGTTTCTGGATATGAGGCCGACCACCGTTGGACTTCGACGGGCGTGTTTGGATTGCTATATGGTAATCTGCGAACTGTGAGTAACATGCACGCTGAGAGACCTAGAGACCTATTACCTGTGCGGCCAATGAACACTTCCCGCGGCTTGACGGCTTTGAACGGCTCAGAACCTTCTAGTTCATCCAAATCTATGTCTTCTGGCGTCTCTGACACGTCTTCAAACGGTGTCCAAGGGCATTTCGGATCGACAGTAGCCTTGATCTTGCCCGTCTCGAGCTCGATCAAAAGCAAAGAGCTCTCCTTACTGCCCACAAAGACGCGGTTGTCCTCGTCGCCTGAGAAGCTGAAAGGAGACATATCGACAAGCTGAGACATGGAGAAGGGAAGGCGCTGCAGTGCACTGTCGGGAGAAGACATGACATAGATGTCCCCCGACTGGGGCTCTATCACGTATATCTCCCGACTTGGGTCGTCGTCATCAGCAAGGTCGAGGTCGACTTCAGGGTGCTCCGTGCGGACGAGGGGACCAAGAGCGGAAGGAGCAGTACCAGAGGATGCCATGGACCAAAGAGAGGCCCCAGACGTCCTGTTCAACGCATGAAGCTTGCCGTCGACCGATGCTACGAGGACGATATCCAACAGCTCCAAGTTCTCATCCCCTCCCAACGGCCGTCCATCCCGAGCAACATGATTGACGTGAGTCGAAAGGCCCTTCTCAGTGCTGGCACGGAGTGAGAGGACTTCAGCGAGACATAGTCCAGCAGTGACAATAAGAGCAGATAGTGCAGATAGCGGTTTCATGCCATATGAGTAAAGCGAGGGAGTAGAGGAACGGTGGGTAAGATCGGTAAGAGCGGTGAGCGGAAGCGAATTCAGTACACAGTGACAGTATACCCCCGGTATACCCAACTGCTAAACAACCACGAGCTGGTTTTGCCACGGACATCAGTGCTACCAGCGAGGCGGCGCCTGCGGCCCAATGGTCTAGTAGTATGATACGCGCTTCGGGTCTTGATAGCCCCCTTTTCTAGGGATGATTGCGCGGGGTCCCGGGTTCAATTCCCGGTTGGGCCCTTTTTGCATGAGCGCGACGTACGTCGTACGCCGATGAACTCCTTGATTGACGCGTCGGCGAGCAGATATTGTATCGACAAGACACTGAGGAGGTATTGCTGAATGAGGTGAATCTTTCTAGGAATGCGTAGTCAGCGCGACGATGTGCAATGGTCGAATGACAGAAGGAGTCGCGTGTCGTCATTGTTGTGCGCTCGATGTCAAGGACGCGCGCGGTCAACGCGGTCGCGACGGGAGGAAGAGCTCGGCAAGGCATTCACGACACCGCGCAGGGCGCTCGGGACGGATCATGGACGTATTCACTCCATCAAGTACCCAGTCCGGACGAGACGACGTCGGTGTCGGTTGGTGTCGGTTGAACTTCTACCACCATGATCTCCAGGCGGGCACTCTCCTCTCTGCGACGAGCCCCACTTGCTCGGGGTCTCTCCTCCCGCGCCTCGACTATTCTCCATGCCTTGGACCTTCGGACGGAGAGCGAGCTTCCTGGGGTGTACGACGGCGAGTGGGCCGGTTCGGGCGAGATCCTCGAGAGTGTGTGCCCGACGACGGGCGAGGTGCTCGCGAGAGTGAAGTCGGTGTGTGCATCGAATACGACCCAGAGTCACTCGGGGAATGTGTAGGACTTACCGCGGTCCAGGCTACTCCCGCTGAGCTGCAACGAGCGTTGGAGCGGACGAGGGAGGCGTACAAAGTCATCAGGCTGGTCCCTGCCCCGAAGCGCGGTGAGATTCTGAGGCAAATACGGGAGGCGCTAGCAGCAAAGGTATGACCTCGCATAGGTACCTTCGTGCCGCACACCTGACCCCATTCCAGAGGGATGATTTGGGCGCGTTGATCTCGCTCGAGATGGGCAAGATTCGGACGGAAGGCGAGGGTGAGGTGCAGGAGTTTGTGGATATCGTCAGTTGCACGCGAGCTCCAAATCATGGTACCTGTACTCACCGAAACCCAGGCCGACTATGGTGTTGGCCTGTCCAGGATGATGAATGGCCGAGTCGTCGCATCCGAACGACCTGGCCATAGTATCCTTGAACGTGCGTACAACGGGTCCCTGGTTGATAACTCAACTCCTCGCTAACGCAAGGTTCTCAGTCCCTAACCCGCTGGGAGTGGTCGCAGTCCTCTCCGCATTCAACTTCCCAGTCGCGGTCTACGGTTGGAACCTCGCCCTCTCCCTCGCGGCGGGCAACGCGACGCTGTGGAAGCCCGCGCCGAGCACGCCGCTCTGCTCCATAGCGGTGACGAAGATAGTCTCCGGTGTGCTGGAAAAGAATGGTGTCCCTGGCGCGGTCGCTGGCCTCGTCACCGGTGGCAAGGACGTCGGTGAAGCTGTCGTCCAGAGCTCAGACGTCGACATGGTCTCCTTTACTGGCAGCGAGGCCGTCGGCCGACAGGTCGGTAAGACCGTGCAGTCGCGTTTCGGTAAGGTCCTCCTCGAGCTCGGCGGGAACAACGGTAGGTCTACATACCACCCTCAAATCTTGCAATCTCTAACGCGATATGCAGCGGCTGTTGTGATGCCCGACGCGGACCTCAACATGGCCGTTCCTGCTGTGTTCTTCGGCGCGGTCGGAACCGCAGGCCAACGGTGCACATCCACCCGTCGGCTCTACTTGCACTCTTCCATCGTGCAAAAGTTCCTTTCCCGCCTCGAGTCGCTCTATCAATCCGTCCGCCCCGGCGACCCGCTCGACCGCTCGACACTCCTCGGTCCATTGCACTCGCGCGCGGCGGTGACCCTGTATCACGACGCGGTCGACCACCTGCTCAAGACCGGTGCTGAGGTCCTCACGGGCGGCGCACCGTACCAGGATCTCCCTACGCCCCTCAACGGAGGCAACTTTGTCATGCCGACGATTGCGATTCCTCAAGAGGTGAACATCAAGGAACGAGTGTGGAGCAGGGAGACGTTCGCCCCGATCTTGAGTGTTGGTGTGTTCGACGAGCTCGAGCAAGCGATTGAGTGGAACAACGGTGTGCCTCAGGTATGGCTGTATGCGTTGTGTTTGACGCTTGCACGGAAGCTGAATGACATGGCGTGTTGTGTAGGGCCTGAGCAGCAGCTTGTGGACGCGCGACATTCGTAACGTTGGCAAGTGGATCGGACCCGCTGGTTCGGATGCGGGTATTGTCAATGTGAGCATAGTACCTAGTCACTTCAACTGAGCTGCACTATGACACGAGGGTTGACTGATTTTGCAGGTGAACGTCGGAACGAGCGGTGCAGAGATTGGCGCTGCATTTGGCGGCAACAAGGTGTGTACCTTGCCTCCGCTCCGTGGCTCATGTTCTAACTACTCGTGCAGAGCACCGGCTGGGGACGCGAATCCGGAGGAGACGCTTGGAAGCAGTACGTGCGTTGGAGCGCAGCGACCCTGAACTTCTCGGACGAAGCTCCCCTTGCACAGGGTGTACAGTTCTCCAACACAGCATGAATGGGTGCGCCTAGACACCCCATTCCCGTTGTGGGTTCTTCTTGCACGCTCTGCGACAACGTTCTGTCACAGAGGACACTGGTCTCTATGTGACGAATGGTGCGTAGTTGAAACGATCTCGGCAATAAGGCAATTGTATTATAGTCAATGCATGCTGTATGGATGACTGAAATGCATTAGCACATAACAACTGGTGCGACCCGGCGGCGAACCTGCTTTCTCCCATTGCACGGAAAATATGCGAATGTCTCGCGTTGGGCGAAAATTGAGTGTAGACTTGTGGACACGCGACATTTGCAGCTTTGGTAAGTGGATTGGTCCTGCTGCCTCGGACGTGAGTATCGTGAACGTAAGTATTTTTCCGAATATCTAGAAAGATTGCAACATCCAAAGAGAGACTTCCCTTACGAAGGACATGGACATTCATCTTCCTATTCCGCATGTCTCATCACGCACGAAAAGTTGAGGGCAATATCGATCTCTCATAGCACCATGGATAACACCTGCGGCGATTTCTACAGACCCACAGGCTACCCTACATAATTTATCGGCTGATATTTTGCCCTGCCCTGCCCGTCCTGGAGAGTGGCAATATATTCTACAATCGCACTGATCCAATGCATCGAAATTAGCAAGTGATGAGCTAGCGACGGCTGGAGCTTTGGAGTGACTGCTGCAACTTTGCTTCTAGCACACTTGCTAATACTTCCTTACCAATGGTCGTCTGCCCTTCAATGTACTAGCAGTCGCCTCCTCGTCTCCAAGTACCCCCATATCCTCCATGAACTTAGCCACAGCCCAAGGTGAATAGTCCTGGCTGATGTCGCCTCCCATGATGTGAGTTTCCAGCGACCAGCGGAAGTGTTCTCAGAAGAACTCGTCCGTCAGAGAATCGCTTGGAGGGGGGATGCAAACCGGCCTGAGCCAACGTCCGAACGCGATGATTGCCCTGCCATGCAATGAGGACAGTCAGACGACGTTTCCCGTTTTCCCGTTGTAGGCTCTGCATCACAAACTCACATCCACGTCCACGCTAAACGCGTTTGTATGCCATAATGAGTCATGGAGGTCTGCGCGTATGGGTAAGATATTCTCATGGACTTCACTTCATAATCCAGATCGATATTCCTCTCGAGGTGCACTCCTTGCATCTACGATAGTCATAGTGAGTCTGAGTCGTGATAGTCAATCCATGTAGCAATCGCACTTACATCTCGAACAAGAGCTGGAGGAAATACCCATTGCACTTTAGTTGGGGTCGCTCCGGTGCTGGATAGCCTCTTGCTGTAGAGACTCTTATATAACGTACTAGTACGAGATTGGATTTTTAGACTCATCTACACGGCACATCAAAGGTCACTTGAATTTTCACCTTTGCCAACTTGTACACGTGTGGTTTTAATATCTCGCGGACGGCTTCGAAGGCGCGTTCAAGGTCAAGGAGGGTGAAATCCACGGTAATCAACTCGAGAGGATTGTAATTGCAGGACTGCGCCCTTGCTGAATCTGAATAGGGATTGTAAACCTATTATAGCGCATACAGAATGAAGAGGATGACCAATGTAAGAGCATTCGTAATCTCCCGGAGTGAGCATATCTAGGTCCGGGATGGGCTCCTCTTCAAGGGGAGTCGACATATACTGGAAAGGACCAACGCGCTGTAATGTGGCGCGTTTGAGCTGAATGCTTGTGAAGTAGCCAACAGTACTGATTCAGCGGAGCAGGGCCCCGGTCCCCGGATGCGACGGAACCCACAATGTCAGTGCTAATACCTGAGACCATGAAGCCGCGTTAGCATGGGACGAGTAGATGAAAAGTGGGACTACTCGCATGTTATCACGCTGGGGAGACGGACATGATTGGGACCGTTCCAACGCAGTGACGGAGCAGGTCTGCAGAACCTGCTTATATATGGTTTTTGGCGACACCGACTCGTGCTTGTGGAATCAAGTTGGGTGCTCTCATGCCAGATTAGCATGATACATTCTGGCATTAAAATCTGAAGTTTTCACCTGTAAGAGACTGAGGGTATGATGGGTCTACCAGATCACGCCGGTCGCAAGTGCGTCAGATCCAGGAAATAACACAGACGTAGCGATGGTAGCTCCTGTTCCGAGCTATGTACTAGAACCCTAACCCTGTCCGTATTCCTTACATTGATCACCATCCATCCAGTCAGGGGACAACATGTCCTTTTCGTTGTGCATTGACTCCAAGCGTCGCCGAAGCTTCAAGGGATTGAAAGGAAAGATCTATGTGTGAAGAGCACCCAGAGAAATATGTACCTTCACGCCATTTCCTGCTATAGAAAAGTCACAATACAGAACAGAGAGCATACGATGCGCACGGGGCGCCAGCCAATTCGCATTCTTGACCTACCGCGGCGGCGAGGCGGCGGTCGTAATAGAACATGCGTTACAATATAGGATACAGATGTGCAGTGGGGGTCGTCGGTGATGCAGTGAAGATTCCAATCAAGTCATGACAGCGATGGGGGCGGGCGAGACGATGGCAAGACAAAAGAGAGAGAAGGCAATGGACGGACAAGCGACGACAGTAGGG